CCACTGGTGTCGACAAAATTTCTTGCAAAATTATTAAGATTGCTTCACCTGCTATTTCAGATTCACTAACACATATTTTTAATCAGGCCATTACTCTGTCCTCATTCCCAGATGAATGGAAAACGGCTAGAGTAATACCTCTATACAAAAATGGCCAACGTAATGTGGCAGAAAATTACAGACCAATTTCTGTCCTGCCAGCCATTAGCAAAATTATGGAAAAAATTCTGTATAATCAACTGTACAGTTACTTATCCAAATTTAGACTTTTAAGTGATAGCCAATTTGGTTTTCGAAAATTTCATTCTACGGCTACTGCATTATTAGATTGTACAAATGACTGGTATGTGAATTTAGACAGAAAAATGTTTAACCTGGTTGTCCTAATTGACTTAAAAAAAGCATTTGATACAGTCGACCATCAAATTTTATTGAGGAAATTGGAGCTGTATGGTATAAAAGGCCAGGCACTATCTTTTCTCAATTCATATCTCTCAAATCGAAGTCAGAAATGCCAAATAAATGGATTTTTGTCATCGGAGAAAGTGATTAGATGTGGTGTGCCACAAGGCTCTATTTTAGGGCCATTATTCTTTTTATTGTACATCAATGATTTGCCCCAATGTCTATCAAAAACAAAACCTCGGTTATTTGCTGATGACACAAACCTGACAGCTTCTGGCGACTCGATAACTCGTCTTGAAGCTGCAGTGAATTCTGATTTAGAAAACCTAAAAAAATGGCTAATTGCCAATAAACTTAGCCTCGATGTTGCAAAAACTGAATTTATGTTAATTGGCTCAAAACAAATGATTAAAAGCGTTTCAAATTTGCAGCCAAATGTGGTAATTGAAAACAAACAGATTAAACAAGTGCATGAGTGCAAAACTCTTGGTGTGACAGTCGACCAGCATTTGTCGTGGAAAAGTAACACTGAAAATATTTGCAAGAAAATAACATCAGGAATTTCTGCTCTTAGACGTTTAAAGGATTTTGTTGACAGACAAACGCTTCTTTCTGTTTATAATGCTATTGTTCGCCCGTACTTCGATTACTGCTGTGAAGTATGGGATGTGTTCGGTGAAACACAATCAAAACGACTTCAAAAACTCCAAAATAGAGCTGCTCGAATTATCATGAATATGAGCAATGACACAGATCATTCTGTAGCATTGCAAGCATTGGGCTGGAAGACACTTAAAGTAGAAAGGAAGAAAGCCAAGGCAAAAATGATGTATAAATTATTAAATAACATGGGCCCTCAATCACTCACTAACTTATTCACTTATAAAAGTGAGATGACTAGCTATAATCTTCGAAACGTTTCAAGTACTCTTTGTTTACCGCAACCGCGGACTAATAATTTGAAAAAAAGTTTTATGTACGATGGATCATTCCTTTGGAATTCTATTCCAAAGGAAATTAAAGAGAGCAAATCCCTTTCTTCTTTTCGGACGAAAATCGCTGCTCACATTGATAATTAAAGCAAATATATGCATCTGTAAATACATTATTATCTCATATACTTAATATATTTTATACTATGTTTTCTATTTTGCAAATAGCTTTTAAATACGTTTCATATTTGCTGTATACTTCTTGTTCACACGCCCCTCGTGGAAATCAGCTGTGGTTGACGAGGTTAGCGTGGTTAAATAAATCTATCTATCTATCTATCCCCAACCCCCTAGAAGTGTCTCTTGCCTTCAGCGCTGGACATCTCCACCCCACCCCCCAATTTTACTACCCTGGCGCCGCCACAGACTGCGTGTAGAACATGATATAACCTAAATTTGCAAATCATCGTTCCAGGACTTGAAGTTTAGGGATAGCAGATTTTAAATTTGGATACTGGATATCACAAGCATGGTATCCATTGGGATAGTTAACAAACGAAATTTGCTCTCCACTGTACTCCACAGAGATTTCTCTGTTGTTTATTTCATCACAGTATTTACCATTCGCTGTGTCTTTGTTTGGAGACTAATTTACATACCGGTATTACTCTTTCCCAGTGAGTCTGATTTTTTGGCAATTGCTATAATATTGACGGTCCAGACATTTAGTGAACTATAGATCAGCGGGCCCTGGAAATGGTTTGGGGCACCCCAACTTATATAAGGGATTGTTTTGCATGGATTGTGTTATAAACTTGTAAATCTTTATTGTTGATTCTTAGCCTTACTTTCTATTACTCAAAATACTTTTATTTAACATTGTGTGACTTGTTTGATCGTATCATAACATGGTGTCAGGATGAATGAGGAAAGAAATAGGCCTGGTCCATTGATACTGGATGCGAATGCCGCCGAAAATTGGCGAAAGTTTATTCGTGAATTCGAAATCCATTTGGTGGCCAACGAGAAAAACAGAAAATCAGAGAAGTTAAAGGTGAGCTTGTTACTGAATTTTGCTGGTTCTCAAGCCATTGAGGAGTATAGCCACTTTGTGTACGACGAGGGTGAGAGTGCAGAATGCTACAAGGATGTATGCCACAAGTTTAAGGAATGGTTTGGAGGTGCTAAGAACGTAATCTATGAAAGGTTGGTGTTTAATCGTCGAAATCAGCAGGAAGGTGAGAGAATTGATCATTTTGTTAGCGACCTTAAAAGACTTGCTTTAACTTGTGACTTTGACTCTCTCAAAGATTCCCTTATTAGAGATCGTATAGTGGGTGGTGTTTTGTCAGACAATTTAAGAGGAGAACTACTTAAAAAACCTGACTTTACCCTTCAGCAAGCACATGATTATTGTAGAACGTATGAAGCATCAGAGTCGCAGAAGCATCAATTTAGTTCTTCACTGGCCGCTGCAGAAAAACCTGTCCTTACACTAAGCAGCCGTGATAAGGGTACAAATGATAGGTCAGATCCTAATGGGAGGAAACTATCATGTAAATTTTGTGGTTATAAGCATTCATTCTCTCATCCAACAAGATGCCCAGCATTTAAAAAAAATGTAGGAACTGTGACAAGCTAGGGCATTTTGCAAGAATGTGCCCAGAAAAAAATGCAAGAAGAGACAAAAAACTAAATTCAGTTCAACAAGAGGACCTCCCTGATAATAGTGAGCACGAACAATCTAACTTGGTGCATACATATTTTAATTCAGTTGAAATAGCCTCACTCTCGAAGGATAACAAAAAAGATAAGGCTATGGTTTCGTTAAAAGTTGCTGGTAAATATCTAAAAATGAAGGCTGATACTGGGGCTGAGGCGACTGTCATCCCATTTAAGCTCCATAAGGAACTACCAAAAAACCATTGCAGAAAATTCATCAGCCATTGAAGGGATGGCTTGCTGTTAAAGCTATCAATCCGAAGGGTTGTGTACGACTCCCCACCCATGCAGTACAAAGGTAAAGAGATCAATTTGCCATTTCTTGTGGTGGACGGGGATTTACCCCTTTACTAAGCTGTGATGCTTGCCTGGATCTTGAGATTCTTAAGTTTATGAATTTAAAGTTAATTTCAGGAGAAGTATGTGAGAAAGAATCTTTTGATGGAAATTTGGAGGGTGCACCCAAGGCTTGTGGTCTGGAAACTGTTGAATCGGATCCAGTGTTGAAAGATTATCAGGATTGTTTCAGTTATAAGCCTGGCAAGTTAACGTCAGAGGTTCACCAGGAGGTAGACCCTTCAGTTTCCCCAGTTATCCATCCCCCTAGAAAAATCCCAGTAGCTTTATTAGATCCTGTTAAGGCAAAATTGCACGAAATGGAGGAAGATGGGATAATAGTCCGAGAAGAGCGCCATACACCATGGGTATCATCCATGGTGGTGGTAGATAAACGGAAAGGAGATACTCCCGAATGTGGTAAGGTGGTGAAGGGGCTTCAACACCGACAACTGGTTTCGAAGAAATACTATGATAGGAATGGCCGAGATCTACCGCCTTTGGATGTTGGAGATAAAGTTAGAATTCGCCCAAACCGTGATAATAAATGGCGCTCTGCAGAAGTTCTACCACGATCATATGTGGTGCGGGATGAAAGTGGTAGTGTGTACAGAAGGAATAGAAAACAAATTATATCAGTCCCTAAGGATGGCGATCATAACCTTCAACCTGAAGCAATGGCTGCACCAGAGTCGGGTCTAGATCTAATGCCAGATCCAATTCCTATGGACCCTCCCGAACAGACAACCCGAAGGTCCCAGAGAGGTTGATAAAGAAACCAGACAGGTTTATTGAAAGTTGCTGAACTTATTTGTTATAAACTTATATACAACTTGTTAACTTAAAACTTATTTGTTATAAACTTATATATAACTTGTTATAAAAGGATGTTAAAAAACTTATTAGGGAAAGGATGTTATAATATTGACGGTCCAGACATTTAGTGAACTATAGATCAGCGGGCCCTGGAAATGGTTTGGGGCACCCTAACTTATATAAGGGATTGTTTTGCATGGATTGTGTTATAAACTTGTAAATCTTTATTGTTGATTCAAGGCCTTACTTTCTATTACTCAAAATACTTTTATTTAACATTGTGTGACTTGTTTGATCGTATCATAACAGCAATTGAAAACCGCTTTTGTCTTAATTGTTTCACTGGTTAATGCTGAAATATCTGTTTCTAAATGTGGTATACTAGATTTCCAACATGGACAACAGATTCCAAGATACTAGACTAGTATGATGTTCCGTAGCCCTGAAAATTTCAAATTTCAAACCCTGGGCCTGGGGTATCACTCACCGTCCCTCCCCTACACCTCTCCCATTACTTAGCTTCCAATCTAATTGGGACATTCTTAGCTAGGGTTGGGCGACATTTCGATATTTTGATTTATCACGATATATTCAAACGCGATTATCGTATCGAAGGTAGAACCCTGAGCAACGATAAATCGAAATTATCGTCATGCTCGTTGACTATCGTGATATTGCTTCGCATGTGTATATAGCTGTTATAAAATCCTAAAAAATTCCTTCAATTTCTAGAAAATATAGTTTTTAAAAGAATTAAAACTATTTCCTGAATTAAATACGAATTTAATACGATATAAAAGCTAATCCCCGAGCCGACGGCGCGAAGCGCCGTGCGAGGGTACTAATTCCCCCCGGCTATTTAAACCAGGGGAAACGAAAGCATTAGCGGAGTCTAAAGTTCATCAAATATCGCGGGCGTGGGTCACCAACGGTGTTGGGGTGGGTGGTCATCCTCACTGACCTAAAAAATATGGCGGACTGTCATGAATAGCGGACACTGATTGGTCCAATTTAAAGTTTGCATAAACGACTGCATCGACACGACAGCGAAATAGCCAACATTTCTTGATTTGATGATTCGTGATTGATAAATTTCTTGCGAATATAATTCATTTTTACTCGCATTTTTGCAATATTTTGTAAATTTCAAAAGCTCTCTCAGAAAGAAACTGCGAAAGAATCGGCTAAAAGAAGGGAGTCGACGTTAACGAAGGTAAGTTTGTTTTAAATATTGATTTTATATTAATGGCTTTAAAACCCAAGGGAGTCGACGTTAACGAAGGTAAGTTTGTTTTAAATATTGATTTTATATTAATGGCTTTAAAACCCAACGGCCTTTGCGTATATGAAGCAACTAAACAAGACAGAATATAATTTCAGTGTATCTTTAATATTGATTCCCTTTTTTATTATATTGAATTTTTTAAATAAAAAAGAAAGCAAAGTTATTTGCAAGCGAGAATTTGAAATCGTTTTATTGCAAACTCAAAGTTTATCGATAAAGCCATTTAATTAAAGGCAGTTTAGTTAAAGAGCACTTTTAAACGTTTTGCGAAGCGTTTGTGGTTGAATTTTACCTTAAATTGAGGCTTATATTACGTATAATAACATACCTAACATATATATGTTGGGAAATTAATAATTTTGTAATTAAAAGTGATATTTTTAGGCGATTTTTCATTTGTAAGAATATTCTTAAAAAATTATCGTGTTACCATGACAACTAATTTAGAACATCATGTTCGGAAAATACAATGGTTTTGTCAGCAAGGCGAGGGTTTCTGCATGCATGTATTTTCTAGTATTTATGTAATTAATCCGCTGAACAATGAAATTGACAAATTGCTGCTATGCTTGCGCCTGTGTGCCCACGGCATTTGTGCCTGCGGAGACACAGTAGACACTGCATAGACAAGTTCAGGTTTATGAACAGTAAATATTAGTCAAGAAAAAGCCTTCTTATTACTTTAATTTGTTGTTTTACTTGTCATTGTTTTTATTGCATTTATCGCGATATTATCGAATATCGCGATAATTTCCTCCGCGATAATCGTGAGATGATTTTTTTAATATCGCCCAACCCTATTCTTGGCAAAATATTGCATCATTTTATTGCTTGGCACAGAACATGGTAGTTAGCATATGTAGTTCTTATAATAAGTATTTTTTGAACAATCAGCATGTACATGAGGTTCAGATTTGACTTGCACTACTGCTACTGTTACCTCTCACTGGCGTTACACAAATTAAAAACCTATTTCTGAAAGGAACAACACTAATTTTTCAACCATAAAGGCATTGGTAGGCTATAATTTATGGGGTGCAACTACCTGAAAATTACGAGGAAAATTTCGACGTTTCAAGCGAAGTTAGTATCCCTATATGTACTGTACGTTCGAAAGCTTGTTTTTTTTATAATTGGCACAGACAGTTCAAGATTATCAGTAATTTATGGATGAACTTGTATGTAACTTACTGTATGTACCAAGTGAATTAAACATCATGTCATCGTATTAAAGCAGATCGCCTATTTTCCATTCATTGCAAGAGCAACTTTGCAAGTGCTTTCAACCAATCGTCATTCTCTCCCAGTTAACATGGAATCATGCAGTCGCAGTGAACTTGTGAGTTGATTTTGGCAAAAGGTTGAGAGAGTCATGAACTTGTGGTTAGAGCTTGACAACTAGCCTCTGTACAGTAGCTCAGTTGGATAGAACGCTGCACCGGAATCGCAGGGTCGCAGGTTCAATTCCAGCCAGGGACCTAAATGTTGCATTTTTTGCTTCTGTTCCTGGTTAGTTCTAATAAATGTACTATATAAATTTCCGCTCGACAATTTCATCTACACTGCCCATCAAACATTATTCATTTGAGTGAGATATGCCACAAAAATCTTGACAGTTATAGAAAACCCATCCAATGAGTCGTACGTGAAACGCATTGAGCTATATATATTATTACTGGAGGAAGTGCTCGGCATAAAAGAGTAAAGCCAAAAACATGGAAGATTTTGACCTCATTTTATCATGATTTACTTTTAGCATGAGAACCTTTGTACAGTATAGTCTATAGTGAATATTTTAGTCACGACTATTTAAAGTCTTGTCATACAAAATAGAGAAATTTGACCACAATTAACTCACTCAGGTATGTAGTTCAGTTTCCTCCCTGAAATGCAATATGTTAAAATTTGACATCCTTGAATTTCACACTATTCTATGATTTGCTGAGTAAATCTTATTTGTAGGTGTATTAAAAGACATGAAACCACAATGTGCTAATATGTGCGAAGAGGGAATTAGGATACCAATTAAAGAATCAGAGTTTTGTCAAGTAACTTACTGTATGCACCAAGTGAATTAAACATCATGTCATCATATTAAAGCAGATTGCCTATTTTCCATTCATTGCAAGAGCAACTTTGCAAGTGCTTTCAACCAATCGTCATTCTCTCCCAGTTAACATGGAATCATGCAGTCGCAGTGAACTTGTGAGTTGATTTTGGCAAAAGGTTGAGAGAGTCATAAGGGTGCTGAATGTGTTGCCAGGAGAAGCTCAGGGTGCTCGCTGTGAGCACTTGATCTGTTAAGTAAACACAATTTTTACCTAGCTTTCTGGGCAATGGTGACACCCTTAGCTTGATATTCTTGTTATTGGAATTGTGTGCCAGTGTGCAGACAGTGCAGTAGGTAATAAATAATATGGTTTGTAGGGGTCCACTGGATCTCAGTTTAGGTTGAATCCTGGAAAATGTATGCCAGTGAGAAGTACTGAGACCCAGTGGACTCCTATATTAAAAATATATTAAAAACAAACAAAACCAAAATATTTTATATTTGTGCAAAAACCTGTGGGCCAGTGTGGGGTGAAGGATTTTGTTTGAAGCGCAGGGTGAAGGATTTTGTTTGAAGCGCAGGATGAGGGTTGGTCAGTGGAAGATAAGAACCAGTTGTCATGGAAATAGCATAATATCTGCCATGTTGTTGGCTTCACTTTTTGGCTTCACAGATATGTAGGAGCACTTCCTCCAGTAATAATACAGCTCAGTGGTGTACTGGTGTATAAATCAAATGTTGTTCAGTGAATAGGCACAACGCACAAAAGGGTTAGCACTATTTTCCATCTAGCAAACCGCCCTATCGATTTTCTAGAGTTGTTTCTTTTTGGATTTTTTTATTAATTCGGTTATTAGGGTTAGAGTCAGGGTTGCAGTTAGCAGGCCTTAAAATATCTTTTGCAGGGCCGTCTGACAAAATGTCCGATGACTTTGAGTTTTTGTCGGACATATGTCCGATGACCTTCAGTTCAGTTTGACTTGGAAATAAGTCTGAATGACACAAATTAATATCAGGACAATGTATTAATTCTGAACTAAATGTTGTGAAGATATTAAATAATCTGTGTCATTCATACTTGTTTCCAAGTCAAAATTAACGTTGCTTGCCAATAACAGCAGCATAATAAGACTTTGACAACTTAAGCCTGTTTTCCACTTCACCATCTCGCCGCCGCCCCGCGCTCGATTACATTAAAACATCATTTCTGGTTCACTTTTTACTGTATACATTACTCTGATTCTCCTTTTAACGTACGAGCCTCTAGTCCTATAGACTAGGGACGGGTACACGTTGGACAAAGCTACAGTTCAGTCAGACACCAATACATCGGACAATTTCATTAATGGGTCGGACCAGGGATGCCGTCCAGGGGTGCACCCCTTGCTTTTGCATTTTCAACTTTGTGGGTGCAGTGCGGGTGCAGACTATGAGTGCAACCGGTGCACAAAACTTTTACAACAGACAGAATTAAACGTCGTTCGAGGATGTGTGTGGGGGTGTTCCACCCCCCAGTCGTCAGGAATTTGGCAAAATTGTTATCCATTTGGCGAAAGGTGAAACGGAAAGCATTACTTATGGAATGTTTGGCGAGAAATTATGGCGGAATTGTGCCTAAATAATTGTATTCGGTCCGAAAAAAATTGGTGACGGGGAGGGAGGTTGACACGAATGTAGGATCATGACGCCCTTTCATTTTCTTTGGTGCCCTTTTATTAAGGAGTATGCCCTCTTGTTAACCAATTGAACCCCTTGCCCTCAGCAACTTCCGGCATCCCTGGGTTGGACAATGTCCGTGACCGACCGATATTTTAAGGCCAGGGTTAAGGGTTAGAGTAGGGGTAGGGTTTGGGTTAGTTACATAATCATTTAACACCTCTTCCATCTTCCGAAAATGACGTCAGGTCAGTTTGCTGGATGGAAAATAGTGCTAACCGCACAATTAAAGTCTACATTTTAGTATTGGGTTTGGATAAGGCATTAAATATTTGATAATCTATCTTTTTCACTACTAGAACATTACTATTTTTACCAATAGAACAACATTGAAGCATTGAATAGGCCTGCATGAATTTTAAGGCAAAACAGTTGTGAAATGTCATTATGTCAACGAGAATCATTCGCCCCACCACGTCGACTGTCGCCACGTCTACATTTGCAGCAATGCAGGTTTGTGTTTTCGTTCTTATACACTTTGCATGTAACGTTTCTTACCCTACATAAGGTCACATTATAACGAATATCGATTGAAACGTCTAGTATAAAAGTCATATACAGTGTACGCTTTGCTGAGTATCTTCAGAACAACAATTTCTCAACGCGGAAGACGCGGAAGTATCTTGACACAAACGTAATTTTTGATTCGACAATAGGATATTATGGATATATAAACGTTTACTAAAGTCTTGATTCAAGCATATACTCACCTTTTTTTTCAAAACTTCTTTGTACTAATAGCAATCATGCATGAAGATACGGCAAGAAAAATCCAGTTTGAGGTTTGACCACACAGACTACAGAGTCTCAGATCATTATGCGCGAATCAAATCGAAACCTTGACATCCCCCCCCCCCGGGCATACCTGGGGAATTTGCTTGTTTAGTATTTTAAGAAGGCGGGAATTTGACCTTTTTTCTAGTGGAAGGTGGGGAATTTGAACCTGGGTCGGGAATTTGAATTTTGCTTTTAAAACACGTGTGCAGAATCCAAAATGGCGTCAATAATTAATGGATGAGTTCAAGGTCTTCAAGTGCAAAGGAATTAACTTTGTCCTTGGTTGGCTACAAGGAAAAAAAGCTTTGAACGATTGAAGAGAGTTTTTGAAGGAAAGAAAAACTTTGAAATTCCAAAATTGCGAAATGCTGTAGCTTCCAATTCGTACATGGGGTGGGGTATTTGAACTCCAATTTTTCCCAATACGTGGTGTATTTGAACGAGAATTACAAATATATGTAGGGAATTTGACCTGACCAAAACGTCAAAATCCAAATTCCCGGGGGTATGCCCGGGGGGGGGGGGATGTCAAGGTTTCGATTTGATTCGCGCATTATCACAAAGTCATTATTAGCATTTTTGCTTCCGTGTCAATCAGTGTTTCCACTCCCCCCAAAATAATTTCCTTCTCCATGACAACAGCTGGGAATTTTGTTGCGCATGCGCCAGATTAACTAAAATTTCCATTGGAAATTTTTTTGCTTGAGACAAAGAGAAAGTAAAATGTACTCTACGTTTCCAGTATATAGAATAGACGGTTTTAGATAACAAGACGCGGATGTCAAGATAACCTGAAGTTCAGGCCCTAATCACAGAAAACCTATCTAAACCACAGAATAAGTATTCTGTGTCTAAACTGTGGGATTCCCGTCCATCTGTTGGACGGGAAATCTGATTGGTTGATCAGCATCATGAAGGATTTTGATTGGTTGCAAGTTTACATAAACAACACGCCTCGGTCAAGGCGGCAATTAATAATATAAAGGTCAAACGACGTAACAAATTCCATTATCGATTTCTTTGAATTTCTTTTCTTTTATGCTTTATGGCAGAAAATAAATCAAACAAACAGTATTTTGAAAGGGCTTTATCAAAATCTTGGACGAATTTTGGACACGCGACGCTGAAAGAACAGCCAAACTAGTCATGTATTCGAAAGCAAGTTCTTGACAGCCAAGCTGTTCTGCCAACTGGCTTCGCCAGGGGCGCCGGAAGCAATGTGAAGCGACGGGGGCAGCCATTTCAAAAGGGCACTTCTGGGCAGCAATATTTGTTAAAACCAGTGGCGTAACTACTATGGGCTCGGACCGGGCGAACCCGGGGGCCCCCAACCCCAACGGGCAAAATGGGGGCCCCCAGGCTCAGGCTGTAGAGCAAAAACTTTGAACTCAACAAAATGTATTATTAAATTCTGTTTCCTATGTGCCTTGGGAACAAAAAAAGTTTTGAACTTGGAAGAATCGGCAATTTTTTTTGCAATTTGGCCTGGTATTGCATCCCTACCTATGTCCTGACTGTGCTGCAAAAGTTATTTATAATTTCCCTTCGTTGAAAGGATTTACTATTGCGGACTAAACTAAATTTTAATCAGCATATAAGGCTGCAAACAACAGCCAAGAATTAACTGGGTAGTTCGGTTAGTACTTTTTTCCATCCAGCAAACCGCCCTATCGATTTCAGTAAAGTCGTTTTTTTCCCTTTTTTTCACTGTAATTCAGTTAGGGTTAGGGTTAGGGTTAGGGGTTAGAGTAGGGGTAGGGTTTGGGCTAGTTACATAGCCATTTTTAAACACCTCTTCTATCTTCCGAAAATGACGTCAGGTCAGTTTGATGGATGGATAGTGCTAATCAGGTAGTTCACAGGAGGTCCAACTAAGAGCTGTGTTATGAATACGAATAAATCATATTAAACGTAATATGAATAGAACATCGATCATAACGTTATATATTAAATTTTTGCACTTACTTGTATAAATCATTTACAGTGAATAACTTCAAACTCTGCTTCGAACCATTCACGACAATATTACATGGTGTTCCAACGAAAATAACAGCAAGGATTGCGGGCGCGCGAGCGGAAAGGCGAGGGGAGAAAAAATAATCGAATGGCCGAAACACCTGTAATGCGATCGTTTGGTGTATTCCATAGGTAGCCTGTTCTCTCGGAAAATTCCAAAACGCCTCCTGCAAACTCCAACAACGCCTACGCGCTTAATTCCTCGCTGGGGCACCTGTGCCCAGGCGAGTATAGGTTTCGGCGGCATTCTTGGATTGGCAATCTCCAATTTCCAATCTCCAATCGTCGATAGCCACAAAATAGAATATTAATGAGCTGCCTAATTTTCACCCAAATTATCCATAAGGCTCCTGCAAATTTTTACCCAAATTATCCATAAATAACCCTGCGTTTTGAGGAAAATTCGGGAAAATTGAACAATTTTAAAAGGAATTTTACCAAAATTGACATGGAAACAGTAACTTCGCAAATCGCTAATACGTTTGGCTTTTATATATTTTTGGGAAGAAAGCAATCTTTTCAACAATGTTTACGGTAAGTGAATGTGATTTAATTTCAAATACGCTCACCCCGCATGACTCTGCACCTATTCGTGGTAGGCCTACACTAAAAGATGCTGAGCGATTTCGAACCGGGTCGATTATCCACGAATCCACAATAAATTCCAGAGATTGCCAAAAATGTTACACAAAAAGTTGCCAAAAATGTGACAAAAGTATTACTGAAATCAAAAGTACCACTGAAATCAAAAGTACCACTGAAATCAAAAGTACCACTGAAATCAAAAGTATTACTGAAATCAAAAGTACCACTGAAATCAAAAGTACCACTGAAATCAAAAGTATTACTGAAATCAAACGTACCACTGAAATGACGAATTATTAATACACAGACAAATATACAAAAAACAAACGTAAACTCACAATCAAGTTGCTATAGTGTCAACGAGCACATGGTCAACATGGTCGCCAGTAGAAAGGCTACAAAGAACATGGACAATGCGATATCGTTTGAACAGATACCAACCAAGAATTTGTCAATAATTTTGAGCAAAGATGATATGGAAAACAAGAATGTGTCCACAGGCACAGATCAATGTATGTCAGGTATAAATATATCTAACAACTGTATTTCTAAATTGAATAACCAGAATATTGAACTAACAGGTCTGTCAAAGCTCAATCCTATGCGTATAAAGAAACTTCCAGTGCGAACACGATATGCATTATTTTAGAACGTCTGCACACAAGAGCATGTTACTGACTTTACTACTACTGGTTGCCATTTTATACGTCACCGTGACCGTGAACCCAGTAGAATACAGGTAAAATGGTTAACTAGGAAGTTTGAAAAAAGTCGATTGTTAAGAAAACGTCTCAGACATAAGGTCAAAAGGTCTGTACCCAGATCCTCTCATCTTCATTATATAGTAGAGAATATTATGCATTGTCAAGACATTAGGTTGAAGTGTATCCTTGATGTTTACTGCCCAAAGAAGATTCACAAGAAATGCTGCGCAAACCTTTCAGCAAAAGATTTAAAATTTTATTTTGTGAAGGAATTCTTGCAGATATATTCTATTTATCAGGTTCGACTCATGATTTATATGCACAACAGGTGTACAAAAATGTCAACCACTTAAAGAATGTCTGTCAGTCAGCATTATCTACAGATATTGAGACGAATCCTGGACCCGTATTCTATATTGATCCCAGGAAGACAATCAGTGCACCATATAGCCAAGGTAATCAGATTATATTTGGAGAAACAGCAGGACAGCAGTGTTTAGCAATGTGTTTATGTGCCCTTATATGCAACAAAAAACCAGAATATATGCTCACTACAAGACCTGGTTAATATAATGGATGTTGGTAATGAACTATATTCAAACTTATCATGTTTAGCACGGCAATCATTTTTATTGTTTACAGAATTGCCTTCACAACTTACAGTATTTGACACAGATTATATTTTTGAGTACAGTGAGAGCTATAGCGGTAATGTAATTGGAGACTGTTCTATTGAAGGGTATTGATCAGTACTGTGTTGCATTTCACAGATCATTTGAATTGCTCCTGGCTGAAAACTATTCTGCATTCATTTTAACAATTGACTCCAATGCTGTTTGCACATTTTCCACCACTGATGGCAAGTATAAATTTTTTTACTCTCATTCAAGAGATATTTATGGCAGAAGTCATCCACAAGGTACATGTGTGTTGTTGGAGGCACCAAATATCCACAATATAATTCTGTATTTCCAGTCTTTGTACCGTGAAAACAGTCAATTTGAGCTAAGAGGAATAAATATTGAAGAAGTACAAGCCAAATAGTGACCAGAACTTAAACAACGTAGCATTAAAAATTCTGCCCTATCAGGTAATGCTTCAGAAGAATCTAAAAGTACTGACGCGCAATTCTTGCTAATTTATGTAAACAATGCTGTGCAATTTCAATATACTCGATTTGTTAGTTCTGTTATTAAACCTTGTAATTACTGGGATTCAAATACAGTATCCGCAGTTGTTTACTTCGGCACTACTTTGTATAACAATACTGGGATAAATACATCTCGTGATATACCACAAAAAGTTGAAATATGTGGAAATGAAATACATGTAAAATTGCAAGCTAATATTCAAGGAGTAGTTTATGACAAGGCAAAAAGCAAACTACACATTGAAAGCCTTATTTGTCATACTGATGAAAACACAGGGTTTTTAATTTGGTTTGGAGATTATTGTATTTCTTGCATCTTTCAAAAGACATCCATTAAGAATATGTCATACTCAATATTAGCATATGATGATGATGATAGCTCGCCTACTTCTATCGCACATTACATTAAAAACATAAAAGACAAGCATACTTTAGTTGATGCTATGTTTAGTCTAGCAACCAACAAAGTCAAGGATGAAACTGTCAATTATGAAATTCAATTTTTGTCTTGTTCTTCTGAATTGAGTAACTGTGAAAGAAAAAGGATTATGAAAAACCACAGGCAAAGCTATATAAATGACTTCATTGAACCGGCTCTAAAGAAACAAAAGCTAGAAACAAAGCAGATGAAGTACAAAACAATGGCTCAGGAGAAAAAACAAACAATACTGGAGAATAGAAGAGCTAAATATGAAGCAATGGATCAATTAAAGAAAGAGGAACAGCTTACTAAAAATATGAATTATAAGGAAACAATGGGAGAAGAACAAAAACAGAGACTATTAGAGAACATGAGAGCCAAATACGAAGCAAAGGATATATCAAAGAAAAAGGAGTTGAGCGCTATGAGTTCAAGCAAAATCATGTCAAATCGCATCTTGTTGGATCCAAAACAAAAAAATAATTTGCTGAATAGAGAGAAAGAAAAACGGATGGAAATCTCTAACTCATGACATTGACATGTGCATTGAAAAATTTAAAAAACATAAATTAAATCTGGCCCATTTTATATATGCTGTGTGTGTAACCGAACACTATATAACAAGTCAGTAGTAGTCCTACAGAAAAATAAATATCCTCGCCAGGATTTATGCTTCAACGTTCTTTTGATGGCAAAAACTACATCTGCAGAACATGCCATACTAAATTACTTAAAGATCAACAGCCTTGTCAAGCAGTGGTAAACAATTTATTTGTTGATGAAACCCCTACTGAACTTGCTGCGTTAGAGAAACTTGAACAAATTCTTGTTGCCCAGAGAATAGTCTTTGAAAAAATTGTCATAATGCCGAAAGGACAACAAAGAAAAATTAAAGGTGCAATATGTAATGTACCAGTTGAATGTAGTGAAACATGCAATGTTCTTCCCAGACCACCTGACAGATCTGGGACAATTTTACTTAAGTTAATTAAAAAGGAAACTTCAATTTAGAGGACATGTTTACTTTCAAGTAGTTCGCCCTCAGTTTGTAATTAGTGCATTAAACTGGCTTATAGCAAACAATCCGTTATATAGAAACATTGAAATTCAATGTGACAACATCAGCCCAGAGTTGACTAATTTGAACTGTCCTGTTACAGATCAAGAAAATATAGACGAGCATTTGCAAACTAATGTAAATAGAGAACTTCTTAATGAAGATGCTGAAGAACAAGATGATCCATTAAACGAGCACCGTTCAGCTGCAACTGAAACCTGTCTTCAGTCCATCTTGCCAAACTATCCTGTAAACGTGGACAATAGAAACTGTGATAATTCATCAGGTAGAGAAATTTTCAACATTGCACCTGGTGAAGGTAAACACCCAATATCATTGATGACTGATAAACTTTGTGAGGAACTTTCATTTCCAGTACTTTATTGCTGGGTTAAAAGGATTTGCGGCAAATGTTCACTTGCAACCAGTGTTTAATCATTACCAGTGGATAACATACGTTTGTTCTTACTTTACAAAGGATGAAACTGAATGTTTTCAAGCCATCATGAATGCCGCAAAAGAGGCTAAAGAAGCCAACTTAAATGCAAGAGATGGCTAAGAAAAATAGGTGCAGCTTTTCTCTCGACTCGTGAAGTCAGTGCTCAAGAATGCGTTTACAGGTGCATGCCTGAACTCTGGTTAAGAAAAATATTCCCGATCGAAAACTCTCTTTGTTAGCACATATTTTGCTGAAAATCGCGTTAGATTTGCGAAGAAACAACAAGAACTTGATGAGTTAGATGATGACAGTACTGACATTTTTAAGTCTAACATTATTGTCCATTACAGTGATAGACCGAAAAACATTCCTGTCGTTAATGATATGTGTTTAGCTTTATTTGCTGCTCACTATTTCAAAGATTACAAAAGTGATTTTAACGAAGTATCTGATTCTCAACCTGAAGTGTTAAGCGATGACTTCATTGAATCTCAAAATATCGAAAATTATAACACTGGACTTCCCGATCGAATAAAACTTGTAAACAGCAGAGAAATTATGAAGTGCAGAAAAATTAAAGCTGTCATTCGATATCACACAGACATACAGTACTGCTCAGAAATAACCTAACAGAAAACGCGTTCGGAACGTGTCCCGAACGCGTCCGGAATGAGTATTGACTTTAACAGTATTGTCTAAAATTATGGAAATTATTGTCAAAAGTTATTCACTCACGCGTGTGTTGAATAGGCTATTGAATTTCATTTCCGAAAGAGACAGCCAAAATATCACAGTGTTTGGACTTTATAAAATCATCATAAACCCGGTTTACACTATCAAAGTTTCTGTGATCACAGGAGGAGTTTTAATGGAGAATTAATACCGAAAAAGCACAAGGTATGGATGGTCGTCCAGTTTATTAGCTATCCTGCTACGCAAGCGATGTTTATGGCTGATATGCGTGTATTCGCGTGCCACAGTAAGAAACATCATCATAAGTTGGCACGATTGTTAGTGATGTATATTGCAAGCATGCACTTATTATACAGGGTGTATAAAAAAAACCGGCCCAAATGGGAAATTTGCTCTTAAATTCGCAAAGCAGCTACTAGTATCCGGTTTTTGATGAATATAGCTTCTTTGGGTACTTATAATGTATAAAAATGGAAAAAATTTCTCGAACTCAAATTTTGTAAACCAGGGGGGTGTCTTTTCCAACAAATAAAAAATGGCTTGCGCACGAAATTTAAAAGTTTTAACCGTATTTTGAGTTGATAGATGGAATATTTGTTGGGTTTTTAATTACTGTACAAAATTTCAGACAATTTGCTTTAGTTTAAGCCCCTTTAACTATGCATTTTTCTCTAAAAATTAGCCTTTCGCATGCTTAATTAATGCCTTTACCTCATTTGCATATTGCTGACATATGCAAATTAGGCAAAGGCATTGATTAACATGCAAATGGTGATTTTTAAGAAAAAATGTAAGTTTGCGTGAATGTTAAAGGGCGTAAACTGAAGCAAATTGTCTGAAATTTTGTACAGTAATTAAAAACCCAACAAACTTTCTATCTGTTAACTTAAAATATTAGTAAAGCTTTTATATTTCGTGCGCAAGCCATTTTTACTTCGTTGGAAAAGACACACCCCCTGGTTCACAAAATTTGAGTTCGAGAAATTATTTCCATTTTTCTACATTATAAGTACCCAAAAAAGCTATATACATAAAAAACTGGATACTAATAGCTGTTTTGCGAATTTAAGAGCAAATTTCAAATCTGGGCCGTTTATTTTGATACACCCTGTAGAATCGACCCGAGATGTTGGGCAGTCAAAAATGTCACAGTCACTAGTATTTTGACTAATTGTAAATGTTTATTCTTTATAATCATGTGTAATGACTTAGTTATGCGTAAAAAAATTACACAAGCGACAAGCGGCGACAATTTAAAATAAACTGTAGCAAGTATGCTACATGATACGCTTGCTTCAGAACGTTTGATAGTTAAGTGATATATTTGATTGCCTGTGAGCTGTTTGAGCCGGCTGAGTTTTAATCGGAACTATTTTCATCCCATGTTGTTAAATTTCTGAAATGTAGCCTGTGCACAACACAGACCTTTCTAGCTCTGATTGAAAGACACGATCGCGATTTGAAGCATTTGATTACAAAGACACGATCGCATTTTCGGTTATTTGATTTGTGCGTTTATGGTTACATACAGTTGAACAGAAACGCTAAACAAAGCCATTAAGACGATTTTTTAAAATTATTTTCGATTACATGCTGCCCGGACTGTGTCGATTTCAGTCTGGGTCAAACCGGGCTGGTATTTCAGCCCGGGATGAAGCTTGATATTAATTGTTCGAATTCATAGTTGTCAACTGTCAAAACCTACAGTAGCTCATGTTTCATTCGGTGTCGGGATTTTCCGATGCGATAACGCGGTTTTTAGCCAAAGTGGGGAACGCGTTTCCAAGATTCCTCTGGAACGCGTTCCGACCGCGTTCCAACCGCGTTCGGACCGCGAACGCAGTGTTAGGTAATTTCTGAGCAGTACTGTACATATCTAAGTTTTATGAGCCAGATGTTCAAGAAGTAGTACAACGCAACAAAGAAATATTTGAGCCAGATGGTGTTGCAATTAATGAAGCACTAGAAAGTTTACGAAACTTTGTTGGCGTACCAACTCACTCCTATAATCCAACAAATGACCAGGAAATGAAGATTTGCGACAAAGTTTACCTGACGATTCTGATGAAACCGAGTCTTTTAACGAATCGTTGCCACAACATCTTGCATCAAATCCTGAATCAGTTCAACCATCTTCTGGAATAAGTTCTTATAATCAACCCTTAGAAATCAGTGACGACGATCTACGATAAACTGTAAGATCATTGAACCAAAAACAACGTTATGCATATGACGTAGTTCTTTCCTGGTGTAGAAATAAGATGGCCAACCTAAACACACTTAAACTATCTAAAGTAGATCCGATACATATTTTTGTTACTGGAGGTGGAGGTGCAGGGAAATCACACTTGATTAAAGCTACATATCATACTGTTACAAAAACATTTAGACATGCTCCAATGAATCCTGAATTGCCTTCTGTATTGCTAATGGCTCCAACTGGTGTAGTTGCCATAAATATCAACGGAACAACCGTAAACACTGCTCTGGCAATTCCAAGAGAATGTGGGAATAATGTACCTGCAATGTCTGACCAGAGAAGAACACAAATGAGATTGTCTTTGGCTGAATTTAAACTTATCATAATTGATGAAATATCAATGGTCTCAAACATGGGTCTGCCGCATATTCACCAGAGATTGAAAGAAATATTTGTTACACCTAATAGTGAACTTTTTGCAGGAATCAGTGTACTTGTTTTCGGAGATTTCTTTCAGCTACCTCCAATTCGAAGCGCAACAACATTTTCAAATTATAAGAATGATACATTCAATCTGTACCATCCCTGGCATGTCTTTAAAATGGCAGAACACAGATCATGAGACAAAAAGATGACCTCGCCTTCACTCAACTGTTAAATAGAGTGCGCACCGCTTCACATACAGTCGATGACATCAGGTGAATTCAATCCAGAACAATAACTCCAGGGGATGAAAATTATCCATCGGATGCATTACACATCTTTGCAGAAAATGCACCAGTAGACGAGTACAATATTGATCGCCTACAACAAATGCAATCACCACAGTACGTTTTAGAAGCTTTAGATCAATTCCCACCTCACGTTAATTAGAAAACAGGATATCGATAGAGTGTTGTCTTAAGGAAGATCTGAAACTGGAGGGCTTGACACTAAAATCCTGATCAAAGAAAATGCAAGAGTTATGCTCACAACCAATGTGGATATTAGCGATCGACTAATTAATGGGCAGTTAGGTATAGTAATAAAAGTTTCTGTTGACAATGTTAGTAATAAACCCTCCACAATTTTTGTTAAATTTGATGACAGTAATGCTGGAGTATCTGCTATACGAAATTCGTCCAGTAGTTTTGCAAGAGAAAACAGTCTTGTTCCCATCAAACCTGTATTGGCGAGAATTAAAGTCAGACCAGGAAAACCATCATCTCCTGAAATGCAAAGATTACAATTTCCTGTAACTCTCGCATGGGCGTGCTCTGTTCATAAAGTACAAGGATTAACTCTAGATAACATTGTCGTCAGTTTTGATTTAAAGAAGCAAAGGTATTTTATTTTAACTATGGTCAGGTATACGTAGCACTTAGTCGAGCAACGCTTTAAATGGCCTGCATATTTTAGGAACACTTGAAAGTAAACATATATATTCGAGCTAATCCTAAAGTACAGGAAGAATACGAGAGATTGCGTGAAACTTTGACACTATTACACTGTGTGATACAGAATATTTCACTTCAATAAATGGTTTACGATTTTTACTTAATAACTCCGGTGGGAATACCTTACCCTGTCTACTGCTTTATCGTAAGCACGGAGGTAACATTCAGCAATTCATAGCTTGCCTTGATTACATAATAACTAGCTTGGATATAGACGTTATATTTGGAGATTTTAACATTGATTACTTTACTGAAAAGAACATTTCTTCATTGAAAGTACTCGCCGAGTCTTAAAATTATGTGCAACGTGTAAGTAAACCAACATTTGTTTCATCCGGAAGTCTTCTCGATCATGTTTACGTAAAACAGTCAATAAGCAATAAAATAGAAGCAAACGTTGTAAGTGTGTATTATTCAGAACATGAGGCTGTTAAGGTAACTGTAAGATTTTGACAACTAGTTTCATTAAAAATTTTGACATGTAGTATTACGCCAGTAGTTTCAATAACGGTTCGGTATATAACCCGTTAAACTCGCACTATTTAATTGTAGCAGAAAAACTAATCGAATATTAAAAATCGCTGAAATGAAAATCCAATCTAGGAGACTGGGATGGTATGGGGGATTCTGGTAGTTCCATCCATGCAAACAAGGTATGTTCAATCATTTTTAAATTGAAGCTAGATGCAACATGTACATTGACTATACTTAGTATAGTACACTATACAGCTCAAATGCACTGTAAGCTCAAGTACATCACTCAAAATGTTTTCTTTTAGGATTGAAAGTTTGAAATGAGACAGTTCGGGAAATTATCACCAACTATGTTAAGGTATGTCCCAAAGTAGTTATGATTTATACTTAGTCTTCCTATGATTATGTATCATGAGTAAAAAGATTTATATTCACTCCTTTAAGAGACAATACGGCCCACTTACTCTGTCTAATGGCAGACGATTTTACCCGTCAAGGGGAGCGCGCTGTCAGTTAATGGGTTCATGCAAGGCGCAAACAAACTATCTTATCTATACGCTGTCTCTATATCGATGAGCTTATTGTAGCTCTGGGGCAAATCCAATTAAATATGTATTTTGTAAACTTTACGTAATTCAGCCTTTGGCTGCAATGTAAATGTTTTATTAAACTATCTAACTATCTATCTATCTAACTATGTTTATATATTAATTTTATCACGACCACTTCAGCTACGCTGTACTTAATATCGTGTTTAAATAAAAGCTTATTATTATTACTATTATTATTATTATTATTATTATTATTATTATTATTATTATTATTATTATTATTATTATTATTATTATTATTATTATTATTATTATTATTATTATTATTAGCCACCTACTTGTACCCCGTACCGAAACTGGTGAATCTTTCCGCTACCTTGGTCGTTATTTTAATTTCAACATGTCAGATGAAAAACACCAATCGGATATATGTGACTTGTTTAATAATATCATATCTAAAATAGATGAATTACATTTGCACCATAAAATCCTGCTATACAGTCGCTACTTGCTCTCGAAAATCTCATGGGACTTCACAATAACTGATATATCTCAAATATGGGTTTGCGAGACTTTGGACGGTATTGCTACTAAATATATACGAAAATGGCTCGAACTGCCAATCTCTGCAACTCTAAGCAATGTCTATCTCCCTTACAACAAATTTGGTTTAAATGTCATTCTACCTTCAACGAAGTTTATACAGTGCCAAACTGTGTCACGCTTAGCTTTAAAGTCATCGATAAATGAAAACATACGTGAATTATGGTCAATAACAAGCACCAATAGGAACATTCAGTACGACATTTACTCAAACACAAAAGATGTATTGAAGGCATTTAGACACAAAAACGAACAGCGACTACAAAATAACCTAATTTCACAAGGTTCTTTTTTCTCAAACATCGTGAAAAACTCCACGTTGGCATTCAATTCCCTATGGTCATCGGTTCATTCAAAACTTCCTAACTTCCTTCAAAACTTCGAACTTCCTAAAACTTCCTTCAAAACTTCGACGTCGGAAGGTCCAAAATGTATGTAAATCTGCCTGGATTTATTAGCCCATCTGTCATCACTGGTGACGAGTTACGACCAGACCTTCTATTGACAATTGAAAATAAGATTTTGTACATTCTAGAATTAACTGTTGGATTCGAAACAAACCTGAAAACTAACTCAGATCGAAAACATGAAAAATATTTGACTCTAATTACCGATCAAGAAAATATATATGATGAAGTTAAGTTTGTTAATGTATCTTTAAGCTCTTTAGGTGTATTTGGTGAATCGACGAATACTTTATTTGATATGCTCCATGATCTGAAGTACGACGAACAATGTATTAAATATGTAAAAAAGAAAATAATTGCTACTTGTATTCGCACGTCGTATTATATATTCTGTAGACGAAAACAAAGACTGGAACAACCCAGAACTTTTAAACTTTTAACTAAATTTAAAAGATTTTCACCTGTATATCTATTTTAGCTTTAAACTCAATTCAAGTGGTCATCGATAAGCTACCTTTTATTAAGTGAGGTTTATCAATGTATATATAGTATATCGTAAATATCTAATAAAATGTTTCCATTATTATATTGACACACTGTCAAGTTTTTTTATATTCAACTAAGACCTGGAACCTTATTTTTCTTATGTACTGTAATTCTTCATTTCTTTATTTTGTAGAAAAATGTTCAACACATCACTTTTTACAACGAAATATGTTCGACTATTAATTGAAATGATGAATGATGATATTATGTGTACACTAACTTCATTGTGCTCCACTATTCTGATCATGGGCCGGAATTGACGCTATGAATTGTTCGTGAATTTGTACGCCAGTCAATTAATATTGCTATTAAAGTGGATTTTTTTGCGATTTCACAAGTTTCTTGAAATACGACTGTTAATTCTTCGAGGACAAGACTAACGTATATTGATCATCCTTCATTATTGGTACCTTTACAACGAACATCGCCATCTCTACTGGACAGAGTACTGGTAAATCAATGAAACTGAACTATCGACGCTTCATAAAAGATAAACATTATAAAAGCCTACAGAAATGGTTTCCATGCATTAAAGAACTTGCCAAGTTTCCTTTATTGAGATGCAAGATTTGTTCCGTGATTATATAATCATAATTCATACTCACATTGAATATTTAAACTTCAAATAGTCCTAGTGATTGTTTCAGAATTTTGTTCTAATGCGATGTACAGTAGAAAAATCTGTAATTCTTTTATTACATAGTGATACTTCGATGCGTATCTGCAAGTATTGCTAACTGAACTGTCAGCTTTTTCTGTACTATTTCTCCTCAATAAAGTCTCACTCTAAACTGTATTCGAGTTGATTATACTTGTCTATATCTGTGAACTGTACTAGGTAGCGGCAGCAAGACTTGATGTTAGTGCTACTGTACTAACTTACTGCATGGTAATGGCTACCTCTTACAGTATATTACAGTCAAAATACAAGAACCTTCCGACTTCCGCAATCTGTTGTAATTTTCTGTAAATTGTTCTGTTTTCCTGTAGCGCTTACCAAATTATGAGCAACTATGGTGACAAAATTTAGTTTTCACTTGTATAGCCCCAGCGAGTTAACGCTCTATAGAGCGTCTTGTTTTACAACAATCATACAAAAGGAAAGACCATGGGATTGAGGATGTGACTGTATTATGCTCAATATTGAATGAATTGTTCTGACAATGAATTGTTCGAGACTTCCTAGCGCTTTCATTCTTTTAATGTCATTGTATAATTAAAGGTATTTATTTGTATTGGTAATCCAGCTGTTTTAAAAATGTATGTAAATATAGAGAAATTATGTGTATTATTATCCTATTATAACAAACAAAACTATGCCAAGGTATGAACTGTAAACATGGCTTGTGTGTCATTTGATCAACATTGTTCAAAGGTAAAGGGTAATACAAGCTTCCAGAAAGTATGTCACCTGGGCTATAGACTGAGGTTATAGAGCCTCACTTTCAAGATTGAGACGTTAGGCTTTAACTAATGTGACATACACAAAAACAACGCTCTATAGCCAAAGTGACATACTTTCCAGAAGGGTGTATTTGGTAATTACCAACTGACAGTATTATATAATTAATTACTATATTGCAGCCCTAGAAAAAGAGGTCGACATTCTGATTTCAATGATTCGTAAATATGTGATTACTAGTGTTCCACTGAGACAGGGAAACATATTTAAAAAAATTGCAGAGACATGCCAACCTAGGTCAGATTTAGGTTGGCATTTTTTTGGTGTCAGATCTCAATTTTTGACGGTTTTGGAGGGCTGATATTGTTGCGTTGCTAATAACTACAATTTATAATACAATTATCTATTTTACTGTACATTTCACTCGGCTTTCTTTTTCGATTGATGTCCAATACCCACGATCGGAGTCCGATGGAGAATCCATCATACATGTGCTACCGATTGATCCGATGGACAAACATGTCTACCGTCGGAAAAAAGCTTGTCCGATGGAGAAATACACGTAGACAAATAGAGCATAACGTGATATTAATTCATAACATAAATATAAGAACTATTGGAACAGTCAGGCATGACAAATAAGTCGGACCGTTATACTTTTCCAATGTTTTTTTCTCTAAGTGTCCATGTTTTAAACGATGCTATATTAGTGGCAAATGTCAGATGGTCCGATCGATCGATCGGATCCATCGGACAAGGGTGTTTACGGTCGGACAGAAAATTTACCGATGGCGAAATGACGTCATTTGTAAGCTACGCGGTGGCAAAGTAAAGAGGCTGGGCAGTAGGCTCTGGCACGATGTTAGTGGCAAATGTCAGATGGTCCAATCGATCGATCGGATCCATCGGACAAGCGTGTTTACGGTCGGACAGAAAAT